ACAACAGATAGATTTACACAGAGACTCCGGAAAAAAAAGAGAATAATACCAGGCAATTGCATATTGCTTTTTAACAGCATCATTTTGATGAAGAATGTTGATTTAATAGTCTGATCAGTTACATTGGTGCCAGTACTGGCTCGAGAGTATCATCATTAGATATCGGTGTGTTATTTCTATTGCGTGCAAAAACTATGTTATCTTTGAATCAACGAGACCAAAATACTTGTGTGAGCCATTACGTTTGATTTCTCCCACGACCAGAGATAGGTCAAGGTTTGCCTTAATGTATTCCGAGAGCTGATACGATCAGCGGAAACTATCAGCCCTTATTTACCTGTATCAAACAGCTGTATTTTAACCCCGAGTTGTTTTAGTTTAGTCAATGACACGTTGAACATTTCTCACACATCACAAATGTACTTATTGCGAATTTTGAACTTAAACGTCTATAGATCGGCAAGTCGATTTCTCAGAAATCCTGAATTCAGTATATTTATATAAGTGTAGAACAAGACACAATCTGATATACATTTGTAGATAGAATTTAACAAGCACTTGACCTTTCATACTTTCTTCATCCTGCGTTGTGTTTGAACTAATTGACCAACCCAGTACATTTACTTTACCATGGATATAAGTATGATGAAATGTATTCGATTTACATGAATATGTAGCATTTCAAGTTCCATAAATTAGTTTCATTTAGGAATTAAGATAAATCTACTATAACGAAATACAAGGACTAGAAACAAATTGGTTTTATCCTCATTGGAGTTTCCCGCCACGTGTTAGACCTGCATGTACTTTATGTGTATATATTAAGGTAGCGGTACATACCCCCTTAACCTCGTGTGAAATGTCAGCGATCATTATTCCACTAACGAATTCCGTGTGTGGTACATAGCCTCCCAGATCACTCTCATTTACGTAATTAACGCAGTGATGTGCCCCTTCCACGACGATGAGAAGAATGAGGATAGATGGTGTCTGCTAATTGTTACGATAAGAACTTTGCTTCGTCCACTCTGGAGTGTAAGACAGACTTATCGGTTCTAAAAATTATAGTCAAATATATACAGATGTTCAAGCGTTCTCACATCTTTTAAACATTTTCCAAATATGCGTCCCAGAAATACAAAGTCTGTAAAACAGACGAACTATTACAAATGACCTACCAAAATATCTACACTATGTGATAAGAAACTGATCAATGAGTTACGCTGAAAATACCAGGTTAAAATATGTTTCCAATTAGAGAAAAACTCACTGAATTTTTCATTGGCTGCTGTTATATAACCAACGTTTTCCGAAATGGTTTGAATAAAAAAGTCACTCCAATTTGTGATGAAAGCCATATGTTGACGTACACAGCCAATAATTTGCTAGACAACTGTCACTGGGTCACACCAAAATCATCGGTTTTTGAAATATACTAAACTGTGTTTGTCCAATGTGCACTAATGCATTTCATTTTCCAAATAGTTCGAAATAGAGGCTTCATGCAATGAAAGTACATCAAGAGAACATCAAGTAAGTGTACATTTGAAGATATGGCCAAGAATTGTACAAAGAATACAAATTAAAGAACGAGAACTTATCTATAAACTAAAGCATTAGATAGACTGAGTGCAGAATGAATGATATTCCATCATTAAGCGTTTCCGTCCCTATACATGTAGGACTCGTGTCTTATACATCGGACTTGAAGTGAAAGCTAGAGTTAGAAAAACGCATAGGAGGCAACAAACAAGAACATCTTGATGATAAGATATTTTGTTTTATATCAATTAGATACTGTAATGATGTCTTAATGCCGATCAAACAGGCAAGCCGACGGCAAAATTTGATCACTGAAAGATATATCAGTAAGGCTTCAACCCACTTCTTTATACTGGTCGCGGCTTCTAGAATATGAATTATGAATAATATTGAGATACATAGTAAAGTCCTTTGAATATATGTGAATTCAAAGAAGCGGGCCAAAGCTAGTGAAAAATAAGCTGAACAATTCTTTACACAGTCGTAGGAGCTGGTAGCCAATCTGAACACTGGTATCAAAATAATACATGTGGATAACATATTTAAGAAGAAGGATAAAGTGATATTTTGTGGGTAGGATGTAAATGGTTATAACACATGTACAAACTTAATGCATCTTGACTATCTTATTGTTTTTACCTATGTTCATCACACCTTAACACTTATAGATAGCGTTACTTCTACTAAATGCAACACTTTCACAGCTAGCTGTAAATAATGAGACATAACTTGTGGACGGTGGTATCTTCTGTAGTAATCTCGGTTGACATGGTAGGTTTCGTCAATGAAACCTTTCAGTAATCCTGGTTTTATTTTGCTTATATATACCATAGCCGCTGTTCTCCTGCGATAAAGATCCCTCCGATACCTCACCTTCTGTCAGGAAACACAAACACCAGAAAAACCAAGATGTAATGTTCATTGTAAGGAATGGATAAGCTCCGACAGTTACAAAATAATATTCTCACAAATTTGTATCTTTTATTACAGCTAAACATGTCGCTAATTCACACACTACACAAATTAGACAAATTAATCCAAATTATCTCCCTTATAGAAAATGAAAATAACTTTAAATAGATTACCATGTGCACTATAGGTGCAACTATCGCCAAGTGACCTCACCGTTAAAATCCTAACGTCCAGCACGTGTAATTGATTACTTCAACGCCCCCTATCGGAAAGTATGATGCTGAAGTCAGCACAAAAATACACAAGTGAATATAATCGGCTTACTATGTTTTATCAAACTCAGAAAATAACATTATATACAAGTTACCCCCGTCCTCCTGATAGAAATTCCGAACTTAGTTTACCTCCTCATGATACTTACATAAGTAAAATTGGTATAATGATATATCAGTCTTCATCCTGTTGTCGTTTCTTCATCCAAATAATACCGCAACATTAGAAATTGATTTTAAATCATAGTAATTTAACATGTATGAACAAAATAAGAATTTACTTGAAACTGTAGAAATTGGGACCAGAAGGTTAATTGTTTTCTGCTTTATCGATATGTACTATGTAAATTTCAGTTGGATATACAATTTCGACAAGTGTCGACGCCACGCCTTACATCTATGTTGATTTGAAAGTTCTGAGGTCAAATATGGCACCCAATGATACAACTGTCGTATATCGTTATTTATACCTATAATTGTGTTGGTCAAACGTTGTGAAAGTCATGTACTACTTAAATGTCACTTCCTATCTCAGATACAAGTATGATAATGACCTACAAGTGAGCTACACATGGTACATTGGTGAGGTACACTCGTCAGGATAATTGAGCATTGACAGACTACAGAGTCGAAGCGTGTTCAGGAGGCAGCACAATCAGCGGGAATGTAACACGTTATATGAAATAATTATGGAAATATATAGGTCAGAAGTACCGTATGAAGCAATGCCAAGTATGAACTGGTAACTTTGTTATCTTCATTGCATCATCTGCAAACAGAATTTCACTGCAAATAAGAATTGTCAGATATTTTACAGTTTAAAAAATGAAACTATATCTCATTTTCTTAGAGTTAAGAAATTCCCAAAATGATTTACTCAAATGGTGCAGATCGCATTGGACCCCATTAGGACTGGGCTTTTCGTGCACAAAGAAATGGAGCTCACCAGTCATTAGATCTTGCATGGGAAAACGCCCTGTTGCATCAATTAACGTTTGTTTGCTATCAAGGAAGGCACGCTATCTCACTCCCGTCAACTAGGTTATGTAGGATTGCATTCAACAGATTTCTTTCTTCGTACAAAATGCTCTCTTTAAGTTTTTGCCGTAAGTTTGCAAAATACTATATCCTAGCTAACTGGCTGTTTGTTGTTGCACTTAACAATAACCGCTCGTCGAGATTTATCCCGGGGAGAATTCATCTCTTGCATGTGCATTTCGGAAGTGTTAAATGTAAATAGAAAACGAGCTCAATGAATCATATAAATGAGTGTTCCGGGAGAAAATCGAGCATATTTTGACACGTCAATCCCGGCACAAACGTGCCTAGGTTTTCATAACAAGTTAACGAGGATAGCATGCTTTTCTTTCTTTTTTTTTTTATTTTTATTAGAAATTTAGATTTTCAGAGTCTGGAACGTCTAACTGCCGCCAACCAAGTTACTAATCATTTATAGACACTCATCAGTGGTAATTAAAGCAATGTTGTAATTACGGATGATTTTGGAGATTCTATTGCTAAAGTTTTAGTATATTTAGTCCATGCGTGTTATCTCGCATCATGTTTTAACGTCAGGCTGGTGTTGGGCAATACTGAAGTATGTTTTGGTCGGGGATGATTTGAACTTTTTCCAGATTGAAAAAAATTCCCAATTTCATGGGCTTTCTGTTGAGCTTTAACTCAATAGATGAATGTTTTTAAGTCTATCAACAGAATAAGACAAACTAAAGTTCATACAGCTTACTCATTTTGACCTGTTCAGCTTTACACTATAATTATGACAAGTCCGCCGTTTGTCAGTTCGGGTGGTTCCATATACAGTTTACAGCATTAGCTCTTGAATGCTACCCCTAATGGATCTTGGCTATTAACAGGACGCGAACAACCGAAAGACCTATTTACCGACCAAATTAATCCATTTCGCTATCAAAGACCAATCAGATTATATATTTCAGAATAACATTCACATTTCATTAGTTACACCTTGTAATCAGTTTGGGAGGTTATTACAACTATGACTCTAAACGTTTTATGCTGTCAAAATTAATAGGTGGTATTTTGTTTCAATGATATTGACCTGGATTTTTTATGATAAGTTGACATTAGTAGCATGGATATACTTGGCGTCTTCTCTGAAAGTTAATATGCTAACCCTTCAAAAACACCTGGTCTTATTCGTCTTGTATCTAATCAGTGGAAATATTTTTGCTCTGTGCCTATATTGTCCTCGTTCCATCCATGGTAAAAATTCGATTTTTTCACTTGGTTTTTCAGACACACCAGAAGAGGAAAAATTAATTGACATTCCAGTAAGACAGAAGCGGACGACAGATGGCGGATCATTACCGGTAGGTACGAAAGACGGTTATTATAATTAGTGACCCAAGTCTGAGGTTTTACTGTTCTGTAAGCTTTCGTTTACCTGCTCCTTCAGTTATTCATTATCATATTAAGTCATGCAGCTAATGAAACCAGAAATAATAACCGCACTCTCAAATAAGCATTTCATTAACACACGGAAGTTAAGTCAATCCACCAATGGCCTAAATGCTGAAACCAGAGAGGGAGAAAAGCAAAAATTAGTCAAAAGAGGTTTCCAAGTCTAGATGGAGAGGTGCTCTATCCCATTATTCAATAAATTTCATTTCATTTATATAACTTATGATTTCAAAAGAAGGTCAACTACATGTGTATATTCTGACTTCAAAGGTGGCATGCAGATTACTGTGATCCTCGGACCTAAGAGTTGTGTCTACAGCATGCAATCTTTTGAAACCATTACGATAATACGGAAATGCCTATGTTAAAGTTAAATGCACTTCATTCTCGGATACGAGACAATTAACTAAACGTAAAGACAACAAAAAAATCCCAATTTGTCAACACAATCGTAATCCAAACTCAAATTCAATCAAACTTGGTCAAACTGTAAACAAAAGAAAGATTTACACGGCGGAGACTCCTGAAAAAGTGCAGGAACACTAATGTAAGGTGTTCCGGAAGAGTAAGCGTCTTCTGCTTCATCGATGCCATCAACCATGTAAACCTTGGTCAATCCAGTTAAGCAATGTGACGTTCCCAAATGAGAACAAGGTATTCAAAAACGAAATCAAAGCCTTTAAAAAGTGTCCCTGAAATTGTTGGTCTGCAATGGATTTTTTCAGTAAGTACAAATATTGAAGGTACCAATTGAAGATTTTTAGATACTGAAGTCAGTTGATTAAACATTGACCATCAATCAGTCACTACTAGCTGGCTGTAGTGGCTAGCTCCTGTAACTTTCATTTGTCTTCAGCACGCCTTTCGGTATGTAAGGTGGTTTTAAGTTGGCGTTTTGCTATACAGCTCACGACATTTGTATCGAAGGTCTAAAGTAAGCAAACAAACAAAATATCAGATGTGTTTTATTGCAGATATCTAACAACCAGTGCATATAATTCATCATGTAGAAGAAATGTCCCGTTATCGATCCGCAAAGATACGTGTATGTCCAGTTGATTGATATAGACAACTTGGGCTCTAACAGAATGCGCAGTAATTGAGATGTTGATTTCAAAGCGAGTTAATATCTCTTCCACCTTAGATGTCCGTAACAGTTTAATCATAACCATTCGCCTTTACTCCTGGGACGCGATCATATAGACCACTGACGTCAGAATTCAATCGCGGATTATTATCGAAACAAAGGCTATTTTTAGATTAAGAAACTACAGGATATTTGTTTATTGTAAATAGTCTATATTACAGTAGGCTCAGACAGAAACTACCAAAATTCAAGCAATGCTATCCCAACATCACGATATTGTTTGAAGAACCAAATCGCAGAATGTATAACAATGTTCATGATTATCTCTATAAACATTGGCTAACATCACTAAATTTCTTACCACAGTATAGATTTTTATACAACATAGCTGGCTAAATTAATCTAGTTTTGATGCGTGTGTATGTGTGAAGAGGCATGTTGTGTGTGTTTTTTTAACACATATATAACACATGTAAGTAGTGTTCTTGTAGGAAAGTCATTCTAGCCAGTGTTTTACCAATGTCCATATGTACGAGATCCCAACTCCTGTGTAAATACTCTTAATACATCTTATCCAGTATATCTCAAATAAGAAGGACAGTGTTATTTACGGGTACCTGTTACGAGCACGGTTTTATATTTTAGTTTCTGATACGTGGGACATTTTGTAGTGGCTGGCAAATTAAAATGGTTTTCCTGAAATTCAATTAAATGGCATTGGAGAATTCCAATTGGTACGATGTCAGTTATATTTATAGTGGAGAATTTTGTTTAGTTCTTGGTCAATTTACCTGATACTGCAGCAGTCATTTTGATTCGTAACGTCAAACATGGAACAACAACTTCCTTAGTATTTCTCTGAATATGATTTATAACAGAAACGATTTAAATTGGCTATTTCAATTAATATCTATTAATTTGTTTTAAATATTTAGACCAACAATCTCTCATTTATTTCCCTGTTTAATCGGTGACCATGCTGGCGTATTACCTAAATTAGATTTGAGGATAACTGTCTAATCGATTCTGAGATATGGGAAAAGGACCGTAAGATGCAAAATTCATAACATATATAGTTGTTTTCGATGCATAACAGAAATTGCCATGGAAAAGAGACAAATAAATGTTCACTTCACTGGCTTGTATGTTTGCTGGTTTTATTGACCTGTAAACAGCCAGGGTCATTTCGAGGTGGAGACTCCTTGTAAAAGCTGGTAACAACTACACTGAACAACACACAAGAGGTCCGTCGCATACTGTTCTAACAAATCAGAGTATAGTGTTATGCCAAAGGCACCACCACGTCAGCGCAGACAGGTCCGTTTCTCGACATTCTGAAGGATAGGGAGAGTCGAACAAAGTACATAAACCTCAGATCTTCTACTTAAATAATGCAGACCAACAAAACCTTTGTCTAGTCACGGTAAAGAGAACTAATGAGTCTCTACACCTATCCAAACATAGGTAGCAAATTACCCAAGCGGCCTGCTAGAATGGCCACGCTAATGGGTTTAAAGTAGGTACATCAAGTTTAAAAGTGTTATCGATGTAATTAAGTAACAGTTGCCAAGACAGCATCTTCCAAGTAAAACGTGAATATTGAATCAGTATGCTGAAAAATTGGGTTCCAGATAATTTCTTAATAAAAAAATAGATAAAGCTTGAGTGTAACGTAAATTAAAAACCAAACATTGAAAATACGTACGTAAGTGAAGCAAAAGATATCTTAAACCTGTTTATATCTTCTTCGGCAACACTGGTGCATCTAACTACATTTTTTAAAGATAAAAGCTCGAAATGTCTTCTGAGAATTCATTGATAATGTTTCACATGATATTCCTTGGTGTATGATTTCTTCTGTTTCATATTTTCAGCCTCTCCCAATGACCCAACAGTCCGGATCCACCCCCATCGACCGTAGCGGCCAAGCATCTCATGACTATCAACATGGCGGGGCCAGCTTTGACACTTCGAGTTCCCACCAAGTTAACACGAGAAGAAATACCGGAGATGACGAAGTAAGAACGAGGATGGTTTTCAACACAGCAAATTATGACGTCATTGCCGAAACTGGAGAGAGTACGTATACTCCATTTACAAGTGGTTCAAATGGAAATACGGGTAATGGAGGAGGTCAAGGTTATCAGACCGGGGACAATAGAAGAACAACAGTTACGCAGTATTACGTCACTCGCGAAGGAACAGCACAGAGACTGGGAACCAATGAAGAACGAGGGACTGGAAATGATGACGAAGGATCTACCCAATACAACTCCGGAGTACAGGTTCAGTACAGCAACACACAACAGAACGGGGACTCACAGAGAAATCAAGGTCAGACAACACAGAGACAAGGCCAAACGCCTCGCAGACGTCAGGGTCAAACCTCTCAAGGACAAACGACTTATAACTACAACACTAGAAGTCGGACATACCCTGGACGAAGCCAGGATCCAGTACATACCGCATACACCCAGTCATCTGGAGTGGGGAGCAACACGCCTTTGTACACAACAGGGACACAGACCTACCCGTATTACAACCAGTACCCATCCAATACTGGTACATACACAACAGAAACACGTACTACTCAATCACAGACCTATTACCCATATCAGACGGGAACAACCTACACTACCGGAAACCGAGGAGGTGGAGGGTCAGGATATAGCTCTTTGGGACAGGTCTTCAACCTCAACAACAACCCTCAGTACACCACATACAATAGCAGACAGACCAACCCAGGAGGCTACATCTCTGGGACCAGTTCTGTTCCCAACACTGGAATCATTTCTAACGATCCAGTAAGTTCATTAATTATTTCTCTACGAAAGTAATATGTGTTCCATTATTTTGAATTAGTGGATGACCTTTCCTCCTACACAAACCTTGAACTTCCACATAGATCTATCAAGGTAAACATTAAGTTATCCTGTGCCCTTTAGCATCTGACATTCATTTACAGTACCTGTAAGATGACCTTTCTTTCGGATAGATTTAAAGGTCAGGTTCACGATTAATCCGAAAGGCTTATATCTATTAGGAACAATCTGGTGGCTTTACATATATAGACACACTTAGTATTTGTAAACTTAGACACATCGACTAACAGTACAATAGACATCCAGATTTCGGGGGATTTGTTTTTAAATCAATCTTTTCGGGGCGATTTATTATCAAATAGGCAGAACAAAAACGCCATTATATCATGTCTGGAAGGTATTCTGATCTTGCTACAACCGATACTACCATGAGATACTTTGTACATTACCTGGGTATCTAGGAAGATTTACTCTTTATTGCGTTCAGGTCTTGGACTTTTAAAAAGATAAATGCATAATGTTATGTTTGAGTATCGATATCATAAAGCTTTCCAGTAATGATATTATTCTGTTTAGGTCTAACAGCAAAATAAACTGTAATATTGAGGTCCTGTCTCCAGACAACTTGTCAGAGATCTAAATAAAAAACCTAGACTAGTTTTATATGTGGCCAATAAAGACTTCGTTAGGGTACATACAGAAATATGATGAATAAAGTTCCACATTGTTATACGTACGCTCACATGGTACTAATTATCAGTATTTCACTCTATCGATGTTAGTTATGCCTAAGACTTGTCTGTCTTTTTTCTGTGAAGAACTGTCCAGTGTCCACATATCGGGTCTACATCAATAACATGGAATGTACTCGAGCTGTGGACACACTCGGCTCCTTCATCTGTTACAACTACGAAAGGGTGTCACGTGACTGTTGCGAGAAGTGTCTGTCCATCAAGCGAGCGTCCAATGTAGGTAAGGAAATAACAAGATTCGACAGGGGAGCATTCTAAGGAATGGGGGAAAAGGACACTGTGATTTAAAGTAAGATTGTAATTCTAATGATTTAAATCGAATTTCTGTTGCTCGGCCAACGTATCTTAAGTCTTCCAAATGAAGCGAAAAACAGGCCAAATAAATTCTAGTTTCCTGTTTACATGAAAAAGCAATAATATATTAACCAGAGAACGATATCATTCTACAGGCTGCGAGTACGGAGACAGGTCGTACCAATGTAGAAACATGGAACCATTCGACTGTTATGCTCCACGTAATCGTGAGATCTGCTGCGACACGTGCAACCGTTACGAACTCCAGAGAAATACAGGTAAGGCCTACTAACTGAATATTGCAAAGTGTTTTCGTATACCATAATCAGAAGTGACAGATGATGAAGTTGTTAATTGCATAAGTAATTTATCGATCTGATTAAACTACAAGACATCTTTATTTACTACATTATGAAGTCCTGGCGGTGGCCGGAAAGGGGTCATGTTCAGATAACCTCTCTGGTTGTTATACCACTGCCACTCAAACAAGTCTCTCATATGCTTGTTCGGCAGCGTCGATGGAGCAGGCACTGTTGAAGAAATTTCCTCAGTGGTATATGTAGTTACGATTACGGTAAATAAGAATTTACAGATAACACACATTTTCCAATAAATAAACCTCTTTTGATGCGAGGCGGTTCCTATTGGCGCAACCATCTTGTGCGAGGCGGTTCCTATTGGCGCAACCATCTTGTACGAGGCGGCTTCCTATTGGCGCAACCATCTCGTGCGAGGCGGTTCCTATTGGCGCAACCATCTTGTGCGAGGCGGTTCCTATTGGCGCAACCATCTTGTACGAGGCGGCTTCCTATTGGCGCAACCATCTTGTGCGATGCGGTTCCTATTGGCGCAACCATCTTGTGCGAGGCGGCTTCCTATTGGCGCAACCATCTTGTGCGATGCGGTTCCTATTGGCGCAACCATCTTGTGCGAGGCGGTTCCTATTGGCGTAACCATCTCGTGCGAGGCGGCTTCCTAATGGTGCATCCATCTTGGTATGGATGAGATTCGGGACACTCGAATATCATCTATTTAATAACGACCAACTGTGATAAGAATCGAGGAGAAACAAGCTCTGGTAAGATTTTGCCAGTCAAGTTTTGATTCAATGATTGAAAGATCGTCTGAACGTGACCATTTTCTAACCACCTTCATTACTTCATAAAGGAATGTACATTGATGTTCCTTTTATCGGAGAGAGTAATTCATATACTTATTTTTCAGGTATTTCCGGTTGCGAATATGGTGATCTTACGCCTCGTTGTCAGATTGTGAGCGAAAGGCGCCACCTATGCTATCTTCCCGAGAATCAAAGGCTGTGTTGTCTGACGTGTCCAAGATTAGAGGACAGGTCAAACCCAAGTACGTCATCTTCCTGTAAAGCATGGAAATAAACTACAATATACCCTGTTTCCTTCCCGAATCCCATTCCAGGGATTGAAATTAGTAAACAGTATTTTCATCTTGTTAACTGAAACATATCGATTGACATAAAACACGTGTCAATTATAGTAAATGTTCAAAACAAACTGCTCTTTTGTTTAAATATCCCGGTGTTAAGTTCTTTCGTAATGTTAACATCCATGTTTGTAATATACAAATTACACACTGTACTATCCCGATCACTGGTTTAATGTATTTTACAGCGTGTAAATGGGGCGACCAGAACCCGCAGTTATGTGAACCCTTCACAAGTGACAACCAGCTGCGTGTGAACTGTTATCAAACGTCCGTTCGCCAGGTGTGCTGCAGCACGTGCGAAAGGTTGAGGTCAAGGATACGTGTGAATATCCCAGGTACGTATCCTACAAATACCTTTATCTGTTGTCTAGACCAAATCTACCCTTAGGCCTTGATTTGTGAGGGGCACTGATGAGCAATGATTTATGTCAAATCATGAAAATGACGTTTTATACATTTGAAATGAGGACAGGTATATCTTAGCCTTCTTGTTATCGCAAATCTGGGGACGTACTGGATGGATCCTTCTCAAATTTCATACGTAGGTTTTTAGTGATGTATAGTCTGTTTCAGAAATGTTCGAAAAAAATGGCCGACAGGTAGTCATTTTAGTCAAGTTTGTTATCGTCATTTCCTGAGCACCTTAGTCCATAGATGTTCGTACTTTATTTTGAGACTGATCAGACATGATGGCCGTCTTTTATGATTGTCATACAGTGTTATCGCTATTTTAGAAGGACTGAATGAACCATTCTCAAACTTGATGGATACATTTTAGGTTCCCATTGGCCCCCTGTTCTGCATAGTTATATTGGGACTGACCGAAAAAATAAGATGGCTAACAGGTGGCCATTTTGGATATTGACAACTAAAGTTTGTTATCGTTATTTCTAGATAACGACTGGGTGGACCTTTTTTATGTGCAGGTGTCCTTGATCCCTAATTATGCCATTTTGATTTGGGGGCAACGGACATGTTTGATTTCACAATGCAATACTGTTTGTGCTTTTCTAAAGAAGTATTTGATGAATCGTTCTTCAATTCCCTATGTCGTTCCACTTGGCCCCTTATTGCGCTCTTTTGAGTTTGAGACTTATCAGATTTCATATATAGGTTTCCCTTCGTCCCTAATGTACTATTTTGGTTTAGAGACAGATCAGAAAAACAAAATGACCGACGGGCGGCCATCTCGGATTTAATATTTGTTTAATATTACTATCGTTATTTCTAAAAGATAATTTTCAAATCTCATATTATAAGGGACACAAACAGTGGAAAGAGGAGAAAAGTAGGAAAAAGGTCCAATATTTGAAGAACAAATAAGATCAGTTAGTGAGAATCGCCAAGATCTCTCCAGGATATAGTACTATGGTATAATATATATGGTTTATCAAGTGAATTTTGATAAACATATATACACCTCTATGGTAACATATTTGATCCCCAGCGATGACTCATGCCGGTTCTGACTGACGAGGTAATAATGTTTATTGATAAGTCTGTTGCCAGCTTAATGGGGAGAGGATATGTTATTCATTATCTATCGTTAAGGTAGAGGGGCTATTCTGCACTGGAACCTTCAGTTTTACATAGAACATCTTCACATTTAATTACTTCACATAAGCATTACTACAGACGGGCGTGTATGTTAATAAAATCAACAATTTGTTTAATCATCGAATAATGAAACATAATTGATATACCAGACTTACGATATTACAAATTAATGTACTAACTATTATCAATTTATCAGCCCCTCGTCTTTGACTTAATCATTGCAGATGAAGAATGGTTTCAAACCAAATGCTATCATTTTATATTACAAAAAAATCACAGGCTACCAAAATTGAAACTTGTGTTGCCAAACCATACACTTTCTAAATTCAAAATCATTTTTGTCTACTTACAAATAAATTTCGGAATGTTTAGAGTCACGTTAGGTCGTTCTCCTATCATAAATATATAATTTTGAATTATGTTTCACAAATTATTAGATAAGGACGACCTTCAACTTTAATGTTTTATTATTTCACTTTATCTAATGACCTTGACATTGCAGGTTGTCAGTTTGGCGACCGACCAGTGCTTATGAACACCCAGCTTGGAATGTTGTCATGCCGGGAGTACGTCCGTCAGTACGGGGTAGAGGTGTGCGATACCGAGGCTATCAACACGCACTGTTGTCACACGTGTTATCAGTACCGTTCACTCAACAGAGGATAATTTCGAACGACGTCATTCGCTACAATTCTTTTTCTTTCCTTCTTTCGGCAGCATTACTTCTGCCGAAAAGTGTGAACAGCTACAAAATAGCAAAATATTTCCTGATATCATTATACTATTACACGTCCATTTTAGCTGGAGCATTATCAACCTAAACAGGAGAACTGTGTATGTGTGATATCCTGTGACAGTGGAAACCATTCGGAATGATTATCACGTGATGCACATCATCCGGAATTTACACGAACGGTGTTTGTCCGCGAATCGAAATGAATTAAATTGCTTTGGGGGCTTGTCAAATCACAGATAATTCTCATAAACGTCCTTGAATTAGCGAGGTGAACACGCAAGCTTAAAAATGGTGGTTAAACAGAAGTCACGTGATGCGGATGAGTACAGAATGGTCGGTACACACGTGGAATAAGAATGTAATTTGTGGTCGCCTTTAACGAATAACACGTGTTAATTTATGAAGAATTATGATATAATGAAACCATGGACTTCTTAAAGTTGCCAGCCTTTGTAATCGGAGATGTATTCATTGCCCCGTATCAACAGAATCATTCGTTACTCCGTGCAACTACAATCATTCGCTACTCCGTACAACTACAATCATTCGTTACTCCGTACAACTACAATCATTCGTTACTCCGGACAACTACAATCATTCGTTACTCCGGACAACTACAATCATTCGTTACTCCGGACAAAACGTACAAGAAGAGCCATTCGTTCCTGTGTAAAACAACATGTACAATCATTCGTTAGTTTCCGTGCAAGTATTGAGGACCGTTCGTTACTCCGTACGAGTAGAATCATTCGTGTCTCCACACAAGTACCGAGAACCGTTCGCTTTTCCGTACGAAAAGAATCATTCGTGTCTCCACACAAGTACCGAGAACCGTTCGCTTTTCCGTACGAAAAGAATCATTCGTGTCTCCACACAAGTACCGAGAACCGTTCGCTTTTCCGTACGAAAAGAATCATTCGTTTCTCCACACAAGTATTGAGGACCGTTCGTTGTTCCGTACTCATAGAGGCATTCGTTACTCCGTACAACTACAATTATTCGTTACTTTCCGTATACGTATTGAGGACCGTTCGTTTTTCCGTACGAGTAGAATCATTCGTTACTCCGTACAACTACAATCATTCGTTAGTTTCCGTACCAGAAGTGATGGCCATTCATTACTACGGACTAGTAGAATCATTCGTTACTCCGTACAACTACAATCATTCGTTAGTTTCCGTACCAGAAGTGATGGCCATTCATTACTACGGACTAGTAGAATCATTCGTTACTCCGTACAACTACAATCATTCGTTAGTTTCCGTACCAGAAGTGATGGCCATTCATTACTACGGACTAGTAGAATCATTCGTTACTCCGTACAACTACAATCATTCGTTAGTTTCCGTACCAGAAGTGATGGCCATTCATTACTACGGACTAGTAGAATCATTCGTTACTCCGTACAACTACAATCATTCGTTAGTTTCCGTACCAGAAGTGATGGCCATTCATTACTACGGACTAGTAGAATCATTCGTTACTCCGTACAACTACAATCATTCGTTAGTTTCCGTACCAGAAGTGATGGCCATTCATTACTACGGACTAGTAGAATCATTCGTTACCTTCCGTACAACTACAAACATTCGTTACTTTCCGTACAGGGGCTGTTTATTGTCCCGTTCTACTAAAACTATACTTGACCTGTACTTCTGGAACCTTCATTACTGCGTAATGGTAGAACCGTTTGTTTCTCCATGGTAGTATAGAACCATGCAGAAACCAATCGTTATCCGAACCGATAGGACGAACTGCTGATCTCTACTTGTAAAACAATTCCTTGCTCTGTATTTATGGAACCATTCTTTACTCTGTACGAATAGGTAATTTGTTCTCTACCAGTAGGACGATTCCGGTTTTTTCTTACTACAGTGTTGTAGAACCACCCATTCTTCTGTAATAGGAGAACATCGCTACTCTGGTTTAATAGATCCAAACTTCCATATGTATAAAAGAATTCTATATTTCTTTAGGTCAAGAACTTCATTATATTGTAAGACGATCATATAAGAGGTGACGTCACGTATGGGGACTACATATGTCACGACCTCGATCCAATTACCACATCCATGTGTATTCATGGACTTGGGTCTCTTTCCGTTTTGTTTGGTCACGAGAGTACGCGAGAGAAGACAAAGTGGTACTCTGACGTAATGAGCTTGTTAAGACCATATGCTGAAGGAAAGTAAAGCGACACCGAACGAGCGACCGACTTGATGCTGAGGGCTATACAGGATATATATTTGTATCGGTGATGTTGTAAACTCCGTTTAGTTCCGCAATATTGTCCGTAACATACATCTGTTATAAATTCTCTATATTTCCTTCTGGAACTATTACGCAGTTACGTTCGTCTGTAGAAGAGTTTCATAGCGATTCAGCAGTTTGTATGTGTTCCATGATAACCTTCTTTAACATTTCTCAATATCTTTTTTCCGCAGTAATGTCTGTTACAGTTCCTCAGTAATGTCTGTTACAGTTCCGCAGTAATGTCTGTTACAGTTCCTCAGTAATGTCTGTTACAGTTCCGCAGTAATGTCTGTTACAGTTCCGCAGTAATGTCTGTTACAGTTCCGCAGTAATGTCTGTTACAGTTCCGCAGTAATGTCTGTTACAGTTCCTCAGTAATGTCTGTTATAGTTTCGCGATAACGTTTGTGATAGCTTGAGTCGTTTTCTTGCATCATTTGTATGGCTCAACTGTTCCACTCGAAGATTCCCGGAAAAACTCGGCTGTAATATCCCACTTTTAAGGATGCTATTGAACACTTCATCTTTAAAAGGTTCTGGCTTGAATTATCTCCAAGGTAAAGGTTAGGATGTAATGATGTTCGGAACACCTCGGATGTAATGTTCAGGTTGAAGATATGCTCAGATCTGCTGATCTCTAATGTTTTGACTGTAATTAGGCTCGGAACAGCTCGGCTGTAATGTTCTGGCTGTAATAAGACTCGAACAACTCAGCTGTAATGTTCTGGCTGTAATAAGGGTCGGAACAGCTCGACTGTAATGTTCAGGCTGTAATAAGGCTCGGAACAGCTCAGTTGTAATGTTCTGGCTGTAATATGATAAGGCTCGGAACAGCTTGGCTGTAATGTTCTAGCTGTAATAAGGCTCGGAACAGCTCAGTTGTAATGTTCTGGCTGTAATAAGGCTCGAATTAGCTCAGCTGTAATAAGGCTCGAAACACCTCAGTTGTAATGTTCTGGCTGTAATATGATAAGGCTCGGAACGGCGGTTATAATGTTTTGGTTGCGATGGTGCTCGGAACCGTTTGGCTGTAATGTTGTGATGGTGCTCGGAACCGTTCGGCTGTAATGTTGTGATGGTGCTCGGAACCGTTCGGCTGTAATGTTGTGATGGTGCTCGGAACCGTTCGGCTGTAATGTTGTGATGGTGCTCGGAACCGTTCGGCTGTAATGCGATGGTGCTCGGAATCGTTCGATTGGCATATTGTGATGGTGCTCGGAACCGTTCGGCTGTAATATTGTGATGTTGTTCGGAACCGTTCGGCTGTAATATTGTGATGGTGCTCGGAACCGTTCGATTGGTATGTTGTGGTGGTGCTCGGAACCGTTCGACTGTAATGCGATGGTGCTCGGAATCGTTCGATTGGCATATTGTGATGGTGCTCGGAACCGTTCGGCTGTAATATTGTGATGTTGTTCGGAACCGTTCGGCTGTAATATTGTGATGGTGCTCGGAACAGCTTGTATCTGTAATAGTGCTTGTTATCATGTTATATTTTGCGTAACCCGTCCATCTGTTATACTTACTAAAACTGCAATCTAAATCCCGAACAATTTCACTTTACATATACAATTATTTCAGACCATTATCCAGATATTGAATGGTTATAAAAACACAGTGGACACGTGAAAACACCTTCAATTCTTCTATTGTACCCAAAATATCTCCGATAAGGTTTAATACAACTATGCTACTATACGTATTATGTATGTAGCAATACAATGTATTATGAAAAGACACGCCCACTATATACCAAATTCATCAATTCTAGAAGAAAATTTTATTGATTTTAGTCAAATTATCATTACAGTTCACATTTTAAAAGACTGCCTTGGAATCTTTATGCAAATTGTACATATCTATTTATTTTTTTACCATAACATTTTAATGTATATGTGTAAGGTGCCCTGACTGTTTATAAACCATCTAGTTTGTTTTAAAAATATCAATTTAATATCACGACACATACCTACACGGAACATTATCATATGTTTTTGTATATAATTGTACATTTTAATTTTGCATTTTATTAAAAACTTTCTAAATTAAAAGTGTTTCCATTACTATTAATAATAGCAAAGAGTAAGTTACTGTGGTTGAAGGGAGATAACTCGTTATTGTGTACTGCCTGGCAGTATTCCAAGCCTAGTGATTGACTTGCGACTTCTAGCAAGATTTGTCTTTAATCAATAGACAGTTCTATTAGTAGTTACATGTATGGATATCAAATAGTCATGTTATAATAGCTGACATTTCTATTTCCACGTGTTTTGCATTAAACATTTCCTAAATCGTTTGATATATAAAGAGTACAAAATCTACAACGATTCTTCATACAAAACACTGTTACTGTCCTTTTGTCGAATATCTGGCCATCGTTGGTATCGATAGCAACCAGCAAACTAAAAACAAGAAATTCAACACCAGATGGCCGCCGTGCTATCGGCGAAGTGATATATACATACGTATAGGTAAAAGTTCAATCGATTTCTGGTGTTTTATATATTATTACCTGGTTTGAGACATAAACAAGAGTATCCCTATAATTATCCGAGTCAGTGTGATTTGGGGTGATAGACTGGGATATATTTCCAACGACCTATGTCACCACTGCTAAACAGCATCGAAATCCTTACTTCGACTGCTGTCAATGATGACAATCCTACAGTAGGGTACTTTACGTCTTGTGTCGATGGTGACAATCCTACAGTAGGGGTACTCTACTCCTTGTGTCAATCATGACATTCCTACAGTAGGAGTACTCTACTTCTTGTAACGATGATGACATTCCTACAGTAGGGATACTCTACTTCTTGTAACGACGATGATATTCCTACAGTAGGGGTACTCTACTCCTTGTGTCAATCATGACATTCCTACAGTAGGGATACTCTACTTCTTGTAACGACGATGATATTCCTACAGTAGGGGTACTCTACTCCTTGTGTCAATCATGACATTCCTACAGTAGGAGTACTCTACTTCTTGTAACGATGATGACATTCCTACAGTAGGGATACTCTACTTCTTGTAACGACGATGACATTCCTACAGTAGGGGTACTCTACTCCTTGTGTCGACGATGACATTCCTACGGTAGGGGTACTCTACTCCTTGTGTCAATCATGACATTCCTACATTAGGGATACTCTACTCCTTGTGTCGATGATGACAATCCTACAGTAGGGGTACTCTACTTCTTGTGTCGATGATGACAATCGTACAGTAGGGATACTACTCCTTGTATCGATGATGACATTCCTACAGTAGGAATACTCTACACCTTGTGTCGATGATGACAATCATACATTAGGGATACTCTACTCCTTGTGTCAATCATGACATTCCTACAGTAGGGATACTCTACTCTTTGTGTCGATGATGACATTCCTACAGTAGGGATACTCTCCTTATGTCGATGATGACATTCCTTCAGTAGGTAGGGATACTCTCCTTGTGTCGATGACGGCAATCCTACAGTAGGGATACTCTACTCCTTGTGTCAATCATGACAATCCTACAGTAGGGGTACTCTACTCTTTGTGTCGATGATGACAATCCTACAGTAGGGATACTCTACTCTTTGTGTCGATGATGACAATCCTACAGTAGGGATACTCTACTCCTTGTGTCGATGGTGACAATCCTACAGTAGGGATACTCTACTTCTGTGTCGATGATGACAATCCTACAGTAAGGATACTCTACTGCTTGTGTCGATGATGACAATCCTACAGTAAGGATACTCTACTGCTTGTGTCGATGATGACAATCCTACAGTAGGGGTACTCTACTTCTCGTGTCGATGATGACATTCCTACAGTAGGGATGCTCTTCTTGTGTCGATGATGACAATCCTACAGTAGGGATACTCTACTCTTTGTGTCGATGATGACATTCCTACAGTAGGGGTGCTCTTCTTGTGTCGATGATGACAATCCTACAGTAGGGATACTCTACTCTTTGTGTCGATGATGACAATCCTACAGTAGGGATACTACTCCTTGTGTCGATGATGACATTCCTACAGTAGGGATACTACTCCTTGTGTCGATGATGACATTCCTACAGTAGGGATACTCTACTCTTTGTGTCGATGATGACATTCCTACAGTAGGGATACTCTACTTCTTGTGTCGATGATGACATTCCTACAGTAGGGATACTCTACTCTTTGTGTCGATGATGACAATCCTACAGTAGGGATACTCTACTTCTTGTGTCGATGGTGACAATCCTACAGTAGGGGTACTCTTCTTGTGTCGATGATGACAATCCTACAGTAGGGATACTCTACTGCTTGTGTCGATGATGACATTCCTACAGTAGGGATACTCTACTTCTGTGTTGATGATGACAATCCTACAGTAGGGATACTCTGCTCTTTGTGTCGATGATGACAATCCTACAGTAGGGATACTCTACTGCTTGTGTCGATGATGACAATCCTACAGTAGGGATACTCTACTGCTTGTGTCGATGATGACATTCCTACAGTAGGGATACTCTACTTCTGTGTCGATGATGACAATCCTACAGTAGGGATACTCTGCTCTTTGTGTCGATGATGACAATCCTACAGTAGGGGTACTCTACTGCTTGTGTCGATGATGACAATCCTGCAGTAGGGATACTCTACTTCTTGTGTCGATGGTGACAATCCTACAGTAGGGATACTCTACTTCTTGTGTCGATGATGACAATCCTACATTAGGGATACTCTACTTCTTGTGTCGATGATGACAATCCTACAGTAGGGATACTCTACTTCTTGTGTCGATGATGACAATCCTACAGTAGGGGTACTCTACTTCTTGTGTCGATGATGACAATCCTACATTAGGGATACTCTACTTCTTGTGTCGATGGTGACAATCCTACAGTAGGGGTACTCTTCTTGTGTCGATGATGACAATCCTACAGTAGGGATACTCTACTCCTTGTGTCGATGATGACAATCCTACAGTAGGGATACTCTACTCTTTGTGTCGATGATGACATTCCTACAGTAGGGGTACTCTACTCCTTGTGTCGATGATGACAATCCTACAGTAGGGATACTCTACTCTTTGTGTCGATGATGACAATCCTACAGTAGGGATACTCTACTCTTTGTGTCGATGATGACATTCCTACAGTAGGGATACTCTGCTCTTTGTGTCGATGATGACAATCCTACAGTAGGGATACTCTACTCTTTGTGTCGATGATGACAATCCTACAGTAGGGATACTCTGCTCTTTGTGTCGATGATGACAATCCTACAGTAGGGATACTCTACTCTTTGTGTCGATGATGACAATCCTACAGTAGGGATACTCTACTGCTTGTGTCGATGATGACATTCCTACAGTAGGGATACTCTACTTCTGTGTCGATGATGACAATCCTACAGTAGGGATACTCTGCTCTTTGTGTCGATGATGACAATCCTACATTAGGGATACTCTACTTCTTGTGTCGATGATGACATTCCTACAGTAGGGATACTCTACTCCTTGTGTCAATCATGACATTCCTACATTAGGGGTACTCTACTCCTCGTGTCGATGATGACAATCCTACAGTAGGGATACTCTACTGCTTGTGTCGATGGTGACAATCCTACAGTAGGGATACTCTACTCCTTGTGTCGATGGTGACATTCCTACAGTAGGGATACTCTACTGCTTGTGTCGATGATGACATTCCTACAGTAGGGATACTCTACTTCTGTGTCGATGATGACAATCCTACAGTAGGGATACTCTGCTCTTTGTGTCGATGATGACAATCCTACAGTAGGGGTACTCTACTGCTTGTGTCGATGATGACAATCCTGCAGTAGGGATACTCTACTCTTTGTGTCGATGATGACATTCCTACAGTAGGGATACTCTACTCTTTGTGTCGATGATGACATTCCTACAGTAGGGATACTCTGCTCTTTGTGTCGATGATGACATTCCTACAGTAGGGATACTCTACTCTTTGTGTCGATGATGACATTCCTACAGTAGGGATACTCTACTCTTTGTGTCGATGATGACAATCCTACAGTAGGGATACTCTGCTCTTTGTGTCGATGATGACATTCCTACAGTAGGGATACTCTACTCTTTGTGTCGATGATGACATTCCTACGGTAGGGGTACTCTACTCCTTGTGTCAATCATGACATTCCTACAGTAGGAGTACTCTACTTCTTGTGTCGATGATGACAATCCTACAGTAGGGATACTCTACTTCTTGTAACGACGATGACATTCCTACAGTAGGGGTACTCTACTCCTTGTGTCAACGATGACATTCCTACGGTAGGGGTACTCTACTCCTTGTGTCAATCATGACATTCCTACATTAGGGATACTCTACTCCTTGTGTCGATGATGACAATCCTACAGTAGGGATACTCTACTCTTTGTGTCGATGATGACAATCCTACAGTAGGGATACTCTACTCTTTGTGTCGATGATGACAATCCTACAGTAGGGATACTCTACTCTTTGTGTCGATGATGACAATCCTACAGTAGGGATACTCTGCTCTTTGTGTCGATGATGACAATCCTACAGTAGGGGTACTCTACTTCTTGTGTCGATGATGACATTCCTACAGTAGGGATACTCTACTCTTTGTGTCGATGATGACAATCCTACAGTAGGGATACTCTACTTCTTGTGTCGGTGATGACATTCCTACAGTAGGGATACTCTACTCCTTGTGTCGATGATGACAAACCTACAGTAGGGATACTCTACTCCTTGTGTCGATGATGACAAACCTACAGTAGGGATACTCTACTCCTTGTGTCGATGATGACAATCCTAAAGTAGGAACATTGACCTGCAGTTTTAACAATACAAACTTGTACCTAGGAGAATCATATATAGACACTTACCAGAAATCATATGTTACAAACTTTGTATGTATTCGGTAGACGGATCTGACACATATAAAACATTACTGCGACACCATGATGAGTAGCTGAAGTAGTAAGTTTATTTCTTTGCCAAGGTTTTCTCATTTTTACAAACTACACTCTTTGTTGTCCACCATTCTGTTGTTTGT